TCTTTCTTTCTTTCTTTCTTTCTTTCTTTCTTTCTTTCTTTCTTTCTTTCTTTCTTTCTTTCTCCTCCACAAGAAAGAGTCATCGCCTGGAAACAGGCAGCAAGAAAGTTTCTTCTCCTAGGCATAAGGAACTTTCTAAAAAACATGAACCCCCCCCCCCCCAGGTTTGAAAGAAAAAAATCCAGTTTAGGGGGAAAGAGAGCATGTTCTCCATAGTTTCTGGCTGGGAATCCCCTACCGTCAGTATTCGTTTGGGCTCTTTAAAAAAAATTCGTGGTCGCTGTTTCGACCCCATGCCTCACGGTTGGCCGGAGGGGAAAAACTCGTTTTAAATTCCGTTAGTCCCCTCTCCGCGACCACGCCGTTGGCTTCAGGGACCCCGATGGAACGTCAACCGGCTTAACCTCATCGGGATAGCGATGGGGAGGGGGTGGGTGGGGTGACCTCCTTCTGGCGTCTCTCAACCATTTTTATTTGGGGTAAGTTTTCGTTCCTTTTGGAGTCGTTTTGGCTAAGTTCTTGCCGCATAAAATGCGTTGTTCTTTAAAGACGCCCTAAAGTTTCCTTTTTGGTTGGGACGGTGATTGTTTTTTTGGGGGGGGGCTGGCTTGGCTCATGTGAGCCTTAAGAGGAATAAAAACCAGCAACAAGAATTGTGTGCAATTTGGAAGAAGGTTGCGCTCTTTAGTCTGCTTGGCATCTAGAGGAACCTCAGGCCCCTTTAGGACGGCCGGCTTCGGGGTGGTTTTCCTGGGCTCTTTCCGAATCCAGCGTTTGTAGCCGATATTCTTGAATCTTGATTAAAAAGAAACGAAGGGGAAATATATAGGTATGTATAGAAATATAAATAGATACATATATTTATTGTGTACATACATATATGCATATATTTTTGTGTGTATGTGTACGTAAGTCTGTATCTCTCTGTGTATGTATATGGGGATATATATATGGAAAATATATGGGATGTGTGTGTATACACAGAGAGAGAGAAAGATACAGACTTACGTACACACACAAATATATATACATATATATATATATTCTTTCTGAATCGACGTTATTTTTTTTTTCTTATTATTTCTTCTTAACTCTTTGTTCGAAACCGACGTTACTGTATTGTTATCCCTCTGTGGTTTTGTTTCGTCTTAATTCTTTCCTGTCTTCTTACGATCCTTTCCCCCCGCTAAACTACGAGGGAGGCAAATTGTATCTATATAATACAATATATTCCCTACGATGAAGCGTTCCTTCTGTTTCTCTAGAGTAGTTCAACATAAAACGGACTCTGAAAATTGAAATGCCCTGCTTGGTTTTTCCTGTTACCTCCTCCTCAAGTGTAATTCGAAAACATGATAACCAGACCACTTCGTATTGGGCAAAAAACTGCGTCTTCCAAAGAGAAAACGGGAATAATCTAATTATTTGGGATACTTTTATTGCGTTTTTGCTGTTCGGAAATATGGGAAAGCTTTGTTTTGAAACAGTCCTAGTTTTCCCACCAAACATTTAATTAGTAATTAAGTAATATATTTCTGATTCTGTTTCTTGTAGTAATTACTAATTAACTATTTCCTGATGTATGCATGTATGTTATGCATAATATATTTATTTATATATGAATACATACACAATATGTAATTTTGAATCTGTGCGCGCGTATGTGTGTGTTATACAGCGATATAATGCACGGATTATATGTGAGTGTATATCCCCGTGGATATATATAGACTCTCATTACATCGGCCCGGAGTTTGCTGAATTGCACTAGTCAACAAAAACTTAACCACTTTTTAAGTCCGATTGGTTTCAATGATATAAAAATATATACTATTTTCCCCCTGCACTTTACTTAGGAAATAAATTTGCACTGTGCATTAATTTAAAAGCGTCCCCATGCCGTGCAAATCTCCAGCCCTATTCGAAGGATGGATCGTTGCGGGGTGTGATCACTGCCCTGTATATATAATAATATAATAAACTCTGGGCGCAGAGTTTCCGTTTTGTAGGACAAGATGCAGCGCCGGCTTTAAATTCACTCGCGCCTCCCTTTAGATCCGTTCGTCTGTTGAGAAGCAGCTTGTCTGTTTATAGACAGAAGGTGTGTTTTTTTCCCTTCCTATTTTTTTAAAAGTCGGTAGAAGCGTGAGAAAATATGTTTGATCCGTGTGAAATCAGCCTGAAGAGCAACAGGAGGAGCAGTGAGTGGCCGGCTGGTGGGGGTGATGACTGATGGCGATCTATTAAGAATCGGTTGGTAGTCGGGGTAATCCGGGGGATCCCGATCCACGCGTCCCTGTGGCTCTCTCTGCCTTGCTTGGGATCAGCCGGCAAGTCGCAGACCTTCACGGGCGGGTGGGGGCTGGAAAAACAGGCGAAGCGTCCTGTCGGTCTCCGTCTGTGTGCCTTGTTTGTGTATGTGTGTGAGGAGTGCGTGTGCATTATAGGTGTGTGTGTGCATACATGAATACACACACACACATATCTCTTAATCTCTCTCTCTCTGTGTATATGCAATGTGTATATGCATATCAATATATACAGGTAGGCATACATGCATACGTGTGTGTGTGTGGTCATTGTATCTATTTAGTGTATCGTGTAGACAGATAGCTGTAAAGATACATACTTTGATTTTTAAAAATATATATTTAATTTTTTATATATATATGAATTATGTATCTAGATAGACACGCACATGCACCCCCCCAATGTAAGGTCAGCAAACCCGTCTTCTTTCCATCCACATGACAGACTTCATGAAAAAACACAATACCAAATGCAGGAGAAGAGGATCCTTTTAATCATTAGACCACTAAAATATATATAACAATTTAAAAAAAAATCGAGCAATCCATGCAAGCTTCCGTGGAGTGAGTGAAATCCACTTTGTGGAATAAAAGCCAGTCCCGAAAAGACCGCTTTAGGGGACCGGCCTGAAGAAGGCAAGAGTGAAAAATTCTGCCGTGAATTTTGGGAAAATTCTGCCGTGAATTTTGGGAAAATTCTGCCGTGAATTTTGGCCCTTTGCCGTTTTTTTCTGCCTCGTCCACGAGGCGCGCCCGGTGAAGTGGATCGCGGAGCTTGTTTGATGGTTGTCATTGTTTTAGTGGTCTAATAAAGGTGTGTGTGTGTGTGTCCCCCCCTTCTCCTGCGCTTGCGCTCCACGAAACATTCCCGTGCGCCCGATCCTAAGGGCTGGAGCCGAGAAAAGCGCACGAGAGGGACTGGGCTGTGTGTACGCGCGCGCGCGCGTGGTTTCATCGGATCCATTCAAGAAAAAGGGGGCTCCCGGCGCAAGGCTCCTCCGAGCAGCGCGCAGCAGACTTCAGGATCCCTCCTGCGCCCTAGTAGTCCGCCTGGCTTGGAAAGGCGGATGATGAACTCGACGCGCACAACCGAGCCCTGGCGATGCCCTCCGTTTGGCCAAGGCTGGTTCCTTTCAACCTCTGCCTCCCAAAACCACTCTTCTCCGGGCGATCCTTTCAGCCTCTAATCCTTTTATGCAGATTTGATGGCACACCATCCCCAGCCTTCCCCTTTACACCATCCCCAGCCTTCCCCTTTACAGACATTATCAGAAGCCTGGGGCTTATTTTGGGAAGGGGGACTTTTCCCAATCCTGCAGGCCGTCCTCGGGTTTGATGATGAGAAACGCCATTCCGAAGGGCTCCCTCCATTTTTCCGTCCTGGAAAATCAGCTTGGAGAAAGTGTCCGGCGCTCTGGCTAGGTGGGCAGAGAGGGTTCGTCTCCTGGCTTCGGAGAATAAGGTGTAAGAGTCAACCCTTGTATGATCCAGATGTTTCTCTGGATGGGAAAGCCTGCAGGATTTCAGCTGATCTGGAAAAACCTCCCCAGCACTGCGGGTTTTTCTTTTTAAGCCTTCCTCCCACAATTTTACTAACACAATTTTTGTAAAAAAAAAAAATAATAATAATTAAAGCTGCAGATATGACCATTCCCCCCAGTGCGGGGATCACGTCCTCCCCAGAGTCTTCTCCAGCTTGCAACCCAGCCTAGTCACGGTGGTGAACAC